AATGCCGTGGTGTGGAGCTATATGCACAAATCCCCAGACTTAGACATATTCTTGCTGTGTGTTTTCTTTCTGGTATCAGAGTGTAATGACATAGCTTGTTTAGCTTTTGCTGGTTTTAACAGCAGGCAGAAGAAAGCTTTTCTTAATATTTTTGTATTAAGACTACTAAGAATGGACTGTTGTGTTCTCTATGAGACTAAAAATAGTAGTCAGAGTAAGCTTCCTTCTGGATTGTATTTGTAGAATTGAACAAATGGTTGATATTACCAGTTGGTAACATATGACACCAACATTAAAATGCTGGCATATATTAGCTATAACCCCGTTTTGTGAGTGATCACTCTATTATGCTTTCATTGAGTATTCACATACTCTTCTCTGTTAAAATCTCTTACCACCTTTGGTTCAATGCCAGATTTTTTTTTAGCCTTTTCCTTGCTTACCCATTTTTAAAATGCAGCCTACGGCAGTAAGACTTAAATATTCCTGAGGCCTGAAGGTACTGTCACCCTTTAAACAGCATCAAAGCACCAAAATTACCTGAAGGCTCGGCCCAAGCCTTCCCGTCGTCTGGTTTGGCCAGTCCCGCTGCCATTTGCAATTCAAGTATGAGTTCAGCGAAAGGGAACGTTTACTTCAAGCCTTATTGCCAGGGGGATACAGAGACAAAAAAACAGATTTTACAGACAAACCAAACATAGACAAATCCCTTTTCAAAGTGTTTAGAATATTTGAGGAATAACTCTTACCGCTTGCCTTTCCTTCTGGCTATTGTACAGGTCTGTACACCCTGAAAGTAACACCTGTTTCCTCCAGGTTTAGTTTATGCACGTGTAGCACATTAAGGATAGAGTTTGCTAGATACTAAAATGTGCTCATTTACAGTTGCAGTTCACATTAAAAACAGGATTGATGCACCCAAACACCAGTTGAGTTACAGTGTTTGATAACAACAGTGAAGCTGTGAGTTTATGAGGTTTCATAAGGCAAACGGTCTCAGCATCTGGTGTGAGGTGTGGTCTTCGCGGAGGGGAGATGTGTCCGGTCGAGTGGGCTGGACAGTGCAGGATCTAACCACTAAGCGACCACTAACTCGGTAATATCAGTGCTCTTTCTTTGCCTGTTCTTTTCTAAATGTGACTGAAAACGCCAAACCTGACTACTTGTGTTTTAAGAAGTCGGTGCCACACAAGGAGTCAGCTGGCTGTATTCCTGTCTGTTTAATTATAACCTGTTTCAACAGAACCTTCTCGCAGCTTTGACTGTTAGTTTTGACCATTTCATGCAATAAACTGTTGTATGCAATATGGCAGTCCAGAACTGACTGCGTTTGGGACAAATGAATTGAATCAGGTATGTGTGTGGACGCTATACTGTAGCTTGTAACTCAGCTGAAGTATGGACTTATAAAATAACCAGTGGGAAATACCAAGTTTTGGGTAGTTATTACTGATTTGATGAGTTTCCAAGAGGTGGCAAATTAATATGGCACATGGATGTTCATTTTCAGTTCTTAGACATTGGGTTTTTTTCTGGCTATATGGCTGTGGATCTTTTATTTAGATTGTGAGGCTGCTGTTCATACATCTGCAAATTTTAGCCGAGTGAGCAACACTAGCCAAACTGTGCTAGATCAAACCTCCAAACAAGGTGTTTTGGCATGTGGAGACATTTTACTAGCAGGGTCAGGTTAGAATCCCATCTGCAGGACTGAGCTGCACATCTCCGTATGATTCCCCTGTAATCCCTTGGATAAGAACGTGTATTTACTGTGGAGTCCCAAAGAGCTTAGTCAGAGCTGAAGGTTTCCAACCTGCTAGATGCTGTGCAGACCTACAATCACTCTTTTGGTCTCTCAGCATCACCCCATCCTTCCCCTTAATTTTCCTTCGGGTTTTATTAAGTCATAATGTCCTTTGACTCCAAATAGAGTTTGCATACTTCAGGGCAGCTAGATGGGATGGGATGGGATGGGATGGGGTGGGATAGCAAGCTAAATACACGGAACAGATAGGAGCACAGAATTGGTAAGGATCCTCTTTTTGCATCTCTTCCAGTTTATTTCCAGATGTTTTCATATGGAAGCACTGTCTAGTTTTCCCCTTCCTAGAGCAATTTCTGACAATATATCCAACCTTATTGCCATGTTTTTTCATGCTACCACAGGGATGGAGCTCTAGTTCTTGAATCTTGGCACAGTGGTGCCACTGTTTCTGCTGAGAGCTTTCTCCTGCAACATGCACTAAAATCCGTATGATTCCCCTGTAATCCCTTGGATAAGAACGTGTATTTACTGTGGAGTCCCAAAGAGCTTAGTCAGAGCTGAAGGTTTCCAACCTGCTAGATGCTGTGCAGACCTACAATCACTCTTTTGGTCTCTCAGCATCACCCCATCCTTCCCCTTAATTTTCCTTCGGGTTTTATTAAGTCATAATGTCCTTTGACTCCAAATAGAGTTTGCATACTTCAGGGCAGCTAGATGGGATGGGATGGGATGGGATGGGGTGGGATAGCAAGCTAAATACACGGAACAGATAGGAGCACAGAATTGGTAAGGATCCTCTTTTTGCATCTCTTCCAGTTTATTTCCAGATGTTTTCATATGGAAGCACTGTCTAGTTTTCCCCTTCCTAGAGCAATTTCTGACAATATATCCAACCTTATTGCCATGTTTTTTCATGCTACCACAGGGATGGAGCTCTAGTTCTTGAATCTTGGCACAGTGGTGCCACTGTTTCTGCTGAGAGCTTTCTCCTGCAACATGCACTAAAAGGCCATAGGTTAAAATAAATTTAAAATATGTTCAAGGGAAAATTCACTACACGACTGTCAGGGTTTGGGGATTTTTTTTCCCCTTTTCTTAGCGCTGAGGCATGTTAGAGATTTTTATGGGTTTGAGTGAGATCCAGCATTGATACTGTAGCTCTGGAGGAGTGCCAGCAGGGAGGCTTACAGAATATCAAGTTTTATACCATCTTATGTAATGTTTATGCGGGTGGGATATGACATATTGAAATTCAATTTATTGAAATTATTGAAATAATATTCATACTGCCGTGCTGCCAGTGGGGCTGAAATGGCTATGTTTTGTGGCATTCCCACTCGCACAGACATAGACACTCAGAGACAACAAGTTTGCATTAATGTTTTTGTCTTCTCCTGCACCTGTTTTCACTGGTGAACTGGTGCTGTTACACTAAAAGTCTACATTGTGCAGCCATAGGGCATGTGAATAAATAAGGGAAAGGGTCTGAGTTATTAAAAATAACGAAAATCTATTCAGGTTTGCATTGCTGGTTTGGGAACCTTCCTTTAGACAGGGTTTAGTTTCTTTTCGGAAAAGGCAGTATCTATTTCTCTCATTAATCCTTTCATTGCGAAACTCACGTTACAACAATGCACAGAAACCGCTCTACATGAGTTATGTCTTTTTGATTTTATCAGTCTAATTCAATCAGTGTGGATACATTTACATCTGTATAAAGCCACCCTGTACAATACAGATTTTTCCTGTCTAAGAGACGGAAAGACAGACATGTTTACTCTAAGGTCACTCTGTTGCCATGTGAGAGGTTGGTGGTACCAACACCACCATGTTGGGGGAAAGATGTGTGAGAGGAGCCACTCTCCTATCCAAAGTAGTACTTGCAGTAAAAGAAATAAAAAATCTGTGTCAAGACCGAACTATAAGTGAATATAAATGTAGCTTTTTTAAAGTGTATTTGCTACTTGAAGCTGTTTCATCTCAAATAAAAAATCATTTACATATTTGAGAAGTCTTTACTGTAGAGGCTGCCATTTCTGACAAAAAAAGTTCCACTTTTTTGGCTGGGCATTTACTCACCTTCTCTCATGTATCTTAACAGCCTCCTGAACAACAGCTAGAAGTTTGATATGCATTGCTGATGGGGATGTTGAGCCTTCTTCATTACAGTAACCTACCATGGAGCATCCAGTTCATAGTTGTGGTCAGATTACTGCAGAGGAAGTCCCCTTTCGGACTAATCCTTGCTTAGCCATAAAGCGGGTGGCAGTAAACTGTTCTTTTTGTTCACTGTGGACAGAACAAGAACGAATGGGTCTAAATGGCAAAACAAGAAATTTAGGCTAGACAGCAGAGAAGCCTTTCTTGCTGGCAGGGGTAGTTAAGCACTAGATGGGTGTGGTACGTCCATCATTAAGGATTTTTAAGGCAGGTCAGACAAACAATTTTCAGGAATGCTTTGAGAAGACTAAATCCTGCCCTGGGCAAGGAGAGGAAAATGGGTCATCTGTTCTCCTCCAGCCCCATTTCCTCTGATTTTTTAATAACAATTTCGATGCCACTTAATGTTTATTATAACTAGCTGTGCTGTCCCTGTGTATTTTACTGATATGTTCCTATACATGATTAATTTTGCTCTTGCAGCACATGCAGAGAGGAAATCATGATAACAGAATTTGTTAATGTATAAAGGAAAAATATGCCCCGACTTCAGAGAGCATTCAAATTCTGAAGGGCAGTTCTGACATCATCTTTTGCTTTTGGTTTTCTGTATACAGGATTCTCAGGTGTTTGTGACACATCTGTTTTTAACATCATTGCATAACATGTTTGGAAAGTGCTGGAAAAATATTCCAGCTTTTTTTTTTCTTCAAAATTTCAAAAATCCATTACAGGATTCAGCTTTTCAGTTAACAGGATTATACAGTAAAAAAAATTATTTAGACAATATTGCAGTTGAAATAGACTGAAGAATTCTTACATGTACTTTATTTGTGCTTCAGAAATTTGGCAATTTAAGAAGCCTACCCTATCTGTCGTTCTTAAGCTCATCACAGTATCTAAAATCAATTTAGCAAGAAGATACTTAGCCAGTGCTTTGAAGCATCCATACATAAATATTGCCATGTCATTCTGTTGGTTGGGATTATGTTACTTGCTGAATGATTGCTACTCATTTTTTGCCAGTATAATCAATAAAAGTGACACTGAGAAATCTGATCTTTCTTCTCTGCAGGCCAGCTTTGGGTGGTCTCCTTACATCATCTTTTCGGCAGCACCAGGAGTCCTTGGCAGCAGAAAGAGAAAGACGACGTCAGGAGAGAGAAGAAAGGTTGCAAAGGATAGAACGTGAAGAAAGAAACAAATTCAAGTAGGAACCAAATTTGCTCTCAGTCTGTTGCTTTAACGTGTGATGGATTTGTACATCATTGAGACATTCAATTGCAAAATAATTGAATTAATGAATAGTTTGTGTGTCTCTTTAGATACCTTTCTTGGTCTAAGTATCTTAAAAACTGATATATTAAACACATAATGATGAATTTTGGCATTTAATAAACCAGCAATATTTTTAAAGACAGTATGTATTTGCCAGTTATACTGACTGGATATCTGCAGAGGCCTGGTTTTATTAGCTAATATACTCCTCAAAGTATAATCTCAGTGAGGCATAGGGTTTGAAGATGCAACAATGGAAGGAAGGTATCAAGAAGGGAGGAAGGGACAGCACTGAGACATCTTTTTGTTTTTATGTTCTGCAAAGTAAAAGTGTTTTGCTGTCTTGGGATGTATGGTAGTGTTTTTAAACTACTTTTTCCTGCTTTTCTGAACATGTGTCTCTTTCCCCTGGAAACAGCAACTGACAGAAAGTAATTATCAAAATTATTGCTGAAGCCATGGCCAGACAAAGGCCCCAGCTGAATGTAGGACTCTCCGTTTTCACATCTGAGAACATGTTGTGTGCTGTGGGATCCCCAAGTGTGCTGCCTGAGGATAGTTAGAGACAAACCCTTCCTCCTGTTAAATCCATGCCTGGAAGTACCATCACAGGCATTAGCAAAGACTGCAGTGGGCTTAGGATAGATAAGGAGCCTATACCTGAAGTGGTTTGCCTACTGTCTGAAGAGGGTACACTAAGAAACTGATTTGTTTCCTCATAAACAGGAGTGGAAAGTAAACGTATTTTTAGTAGTTAGAAGATATAATGTAGTAATCTAAAGAATGGTAGGATAAATGTTTTGTAGCCTTAGAGTTGGTATTTATGGAAAAGATGGCACTGGGTTTCATGTGAGCTTGTTTATTAGTATGCAGAATTGTTTTCACTGTAATCATCTCTTCAGTAAGAAGTGGAAATGGTCTGTGTCATAGTGAGTTTGGAAAAAGGAGTAACTTACTAGTGGTTGGTTGGTTGGTTGGTTGAAGGAGATATTCTCCTGGCTCCAGAAGATAGCTAGTTTAGAAGAAAATGAGAGGCGGAGGGAAGGTGGAAGAGCACCATAATAGGATCTTTGGCAGCCAACAGCTGCCCAAGTTCTCCTGAAACAGAAACAATCAGGTCTCAGTCTTCAAGCCTCTTCCAAAAACTCTCCCTCTAAGTGGTATCAGCAGGCTGCAGCAGGCTGCCGTGGACAGCCAACATGATCTTTCAGAAAGGAAACTCCCAGACCAAAAAAGCCACCAGGACATTTGGCAGCTTGACCTGTTTGAATAACAGATCTGCACATTTCACTAGAGGTTGGCTACAGTAGTTGTTCTGTCACTAAAAGAGCTTCCTTAAAGTCAGAAAAGCCAATTTTTTTTAAATATATATATTCATCCCATTACTCCAGAGTCAGAAACTGGTTAACTAAACGTCATGATTGTGTTGCATATTTAAGAAGACAATTTTCCAATGCCCAGTGTTTTCATCTTCTAGATTTGAGTTCCCTGGTCACCCAAAAGTTATAACTTGTGTTTGAGTAGAGGGTCTCCAAAGCCACCAAACTTTGCAGACAGTCAGCATCCCACAGTTGATTAAACAGTCTGGCAGGAGGAAGGCAAAGCCACAGCAAACAGTCGTGGACAGTTTCATAAGAGTTCTTGGGATTACATTATCGTATCATCAGTCTGGCTAGAAACCCAGTCTCTGAAGATGTATTTTTGATTAAAAATAGCACTTGCAATTCACAGCCTTTAAACCCGTGAGCGGTACTGGATTTACCATCATGACTCATTTGTTATCTCATTCTTTCCAACTCTGCCTTGAGAACATTGCACTAGGCTCTGGCACCATTATTGACAAATTGAGGATAATTTAAAGGAGAGCATCACCCATTGTGAAAGAGCTTGGTTTTAGGAGAAGTGTTAAAAAGCTTCATAAGCTATTGCTAGCAAAAGGAACGCTTTATGTAATGAACATTTTTCTCAGCAGAAGGACTGTTACACCCGTTGCACATACAGAACAATATATCCTAAAATACAAGGGTTATTCTTCAGCTGTAGGGAAGGGTGAGAGCTGTCTAAAATTTGCCTGCTGAAAAATTCCTAGATGTTATTTTTTTTTCGCTTGGAGTTATTCCCATAGCTATTGTAATTCCAAAGAATACTCTGAAAATATGATAAAAGTATAACCAGTTCAGGGATTCAAAGGATGTGGAGATAGCCTGAAACAGTAATGTGGGTTCCTTATTAATGGACTTTTGAAGAGCACTTGCAAGCAGATGTTTGATAGCTATTGGTATAGTAGATGATAAGTAATTCATTTGATGACACAATATGAAGAGAAAAAATAGTGTTTTATTCATAAACGGAGTAGTTCTGAAAGTCTTTCTGGTACTCACAGGTTACGCTGTGGAAGAAGCTAACAGATAAGGTGAAAGTCTCATCAGTTTTGTCCACCAGATTCAACAAAATATTAAAAATATATTGTAAGCAGCTATCTTGCTGTGATATTGAGGCAGGCTGGATGTTCACTGGGTTCTGCTGTGCTCCAAGTTAAATTTGCATCCACGTTTGTGGATGTGACAGGCCTGCCTGAAATCACAGTGCTCAGGCGTCCGGCAAAGTTGAATTGGCAAAAGCTAAATATGCGAGTTGCTTGAGGAGCTGTGGGAGGGGCAGCTGAGATAGAGGGAGGTTTGTATCTAAAACTGAGGGTGAAAAATAAAGAAGTGAAAGGTTGTTTCCTGTCCGATGGTCCTGCATGCACCTTGTAAGACCAAAGAATTGTCCTACTCGGTAATGCCAGTCCACTGTCCCGTTTCCAGCCGTGGCAACTAAAACACAATGAGGAAAGGTATATTAGAAAGAGGGCCGATACGGTATGCTCCCTGCCTTGGTCTAGCCTGCCAGGTGCCTCAGTCACTGTTTCGGGGCATTCTAGATGGAGCAAATGAGGAATGGTTTAATAGCCACTAATGTGCCTGCTCATTATGGGTAAGTCTGGTTCATTGCATCTAATTTCAGATACCGGCTTTCAAAATGTGCTTCAAGTTCTTCACTTTCTGGGTTTTTTTATAATTACTTGTAATGACCTTCTGAACTACATATTTGGTGTACACATACCTGTGGTGTATGCATGGATAAGTGTACACACATACTTTTCAGCCTTTTTTACAAAACCAAACTAATAATTTCTGTCGACAACAGCCTTCATTGTCTCCGATCAGCTTGTTTGTACTTCTCTTGGTTTCTCCTACTATACTTACAATTCTGTTACTTACCTTATTCTTCTGGTTTCCTCTGCAATTCACTGGAATTCTCTTTTTAGCCGCGATTATTTAGACAAAAGAGAAGAACTAAGACAAGCAAGAGAAGAGAGGTTTGTACATAATGCATCCATCCTTCCCTTTGGTTGTTTGCACTTCCTGTATTCTCTACTGTGGAGCTGTCGTGTATTTACATTTTTAACTCTGCATGCACAGAACACTTTTATTCCAAAAGACTTCTATAAGACAGCGGTTGTTTCATTAAAGAGGAGAATGAAGTCCAGCTGTAAGCACAGCAATACATGAAGAGCAGTGGGACTGGAATGCATAAGAATGATTGATGATCTATCTTTTATCTATTTGTGTGGGAAATAAGCTTACTCCATTTGCCTCAGAAATTTGTCCAAATTTAGCATAGTTATAAATTGAATAAGCCTGTGTTTCTCACCCAGTGGGTCCCAAGCTTTCTGGAGGGTCAGAAAAGGCAACTGAGGATAAAGGAAATTGGGGTCACAAGCATTGCAAAACTGTAGTCACAGGCTGATGGAAACGGTTCTGACCCACTCCCAGCGTATTTTTATCTTTCAGGGGCAAGTTTTCTGTGCCGGTCTCTCTAAACATCAGTGAGTAAATTACAAATCTTAGCAGTGTTTATTATTGGGGCATTGTTTTAGTTTTATTTAAATAGCATATTTAAAGGGACTGAGCTTTTTTTTTTCTTTTTTTAATTCAGTTAAATAGTTTAGAAACTCTGGGCTAGGCTGGGAGCTATGTGCTTACGAAAGCCTGTTTTTTGAGGAATACTCGACTAAAGACCTTTGCTTTTCAGTAGCTTCATCTCTGCCTCCACTAGTAATTACACCCTGGAGGGAGCTCTTGGTTTTACCTGGAAAATATGCACATTACTGAACAAATAGTAGATGAAAAATCATCCAGATTGCTTCAGTTCTGCTTTTATGGTCCTCTAGATATTACTCTCTGGAGATACTTTTGGATTGTCAAGAATTGGAATTACATTATCAAAGTATGAGAGCAGCCATCTCGGAAATCGTTGTGTTGCTGCGTTTTGGTGTTGGGGTTTTTTTCACAAAACCATCATACAGGAGGCAGTTTGTTTCTGCAGACTAAAGTCTCATCTATTGTGGCTGAAGTAGCTGATATTAAAAAATTATTTTGACATCTCTAAGAGTAAGAAAAGGTGGATGAGCTTTCCTTTGTCCTTCCAGCCAAATCAATTACAAATAGTTTAAAGCATTTTCTGAAATGAAACGCGTCTGAGCCCATAAGCATCATACACTGACCTTAGCTGGGTAAAACCTTTTACAGCAAGCGTGCTCGTCAGCAAGATTTGAAACAAATTAGGAGCAAGTTCTCCAGCACTTCCAAGTTATAAAGCAATATGCGAAGTAAACTGGAGTATTTTTGGGGAAGTGTTCGCCAGCAGGGCATCACTGCTGTGCAATCTGAGACAATTTCACTGGTCATTAGGAATGTGTCTTTATCCTGAGGGCTCTTTTGAACTGAAACGTTAAACTATCAGTTCTTCCTCATAAAGAGGAAGGACATATGTTTGCTTTGACAGCACATAAATATTGGAGAAAACTTCTGCGAGAGAAGTCTCGCAGCAGTAGTCCATTACACTGGCCTTCTGTAACTATTTTTGTCTAACAAACACCTTTGCCCAGATGAAGTTTCATTTCCTATAGCAAGTTGCATGTTGACTTGTTTTAAGTGAATGCATGGACTGTAAGAAAATACTATAGCCAAGGTGCTAAAATCCTAGTTAAAATCTGGATTGTACGTTTCCTCCGTATCAGTTTGGAAAAGTAGAAGGAGATAATATTGAGCACATAGGAAAGGCTCTATTAAAAGTACTGGTTTGTCTAAGTTCCATCAGATCTTTGGAGTATTCTATGTACTGTTGCATCACCCTGGAGCTCCAGAGTACAGGCACCCACTTTTCCAATGGCTCTGGGGTGGCCTTAGTATGAGGGAGAAAGATTCCTGCAGTTTCAAGGGGTCTGAGTGTAACTCAGCACCATTCATTTCACATGTTCTTGCTGTTCAATGATTTGAGGCCTTTTTTACTTTGCTTGGTTGGGTGTTTTCCAGTGGTAATTTAAAAATAAATCCAAGAAAGGTGATCTCCCAGGCCCTCTCTAGTGTGATTTACAGCTCAGATGCTCTCAACCCCATGACTTTGTTGGTACATAAACATTTTAAGTCACACTCAGGGCATTGCTCAGAGACCTAAAGAACTCTCAGTGATATTTTCATCTACTTGAAGATGATAAGTGGAATGTCAAGTTCATGAGGTATACCAAATGGATAGCCCACAGACTTTTGGATCTTGGTCTACAGAGAAGAGTCAGCATAGGCATGACGCTGTCTGTAGGTTCCCATGATTTAAAGGAATATGGCAGTATATACAGAGGCAATGTGTCAATCCTGTAGCGAAGGACAAACTACAGCAGAGGAGTGGTAGCTAATCCTTTCAACTCCTCGGATTTTGGTCTTCATGAGGCCATGTGTATTTGATGCTGGCATTCATTCATCGTTAAGACATTGGACAGAAACAAAAAATAACCTAAATAAATGTCATTTACCAAGTATGAAGTGTTAATAACTGATTCTTGAATGATTTTTATTTCTCGGTTAAATTGCTGTATCTGCTTATTAGGCTTCCCATTTGATAACTAGTTATGCTGATGTGCTGCCATGAGAGTTGCTGTTCTGGTTCCCTTTTTTCTTTCAGTATAATGAACAGATACATTTTGAGAAGGCGCATCTTGATGGTAGTTCTCTGCTTTGCTGGTTGGCTGTGCAGCGCACAACTACAGAAGCTAAAATGTTAAAGCAGCTGAAAAAGAGCTGAGGACGATAAAACATTGTAGCTCCCCCCGTTATAGAAGGACCCATCCAGATCTTTGTTGTAGTCTGTTGGCAAACTGCAAAACCCTCCTCGGCAGCAGCCAGCTGGGCTGTACCTGTTTGAGCTAAGTGATCGATTTGAATGGCTCTTTATGAGTCTGCAGTCCCATCTGCTCCACTTGTGAGGAGGCGGAAGGCGCAATACGTAAGTGACCAACGTCAAAAGAAAGACTGGCTTCATGAACTGTAACAAAACGTTATGCTAATGCCAGCGAAAGGCTTTCTCCTCTATTGAAAAGGCAAAAATCATTCTCGAGAATTGGCTTCATGTTAGAACTGTAAACAGTTCCTATTTTATAACCGTACAAGTATGTGGCTTGTTATATTTTCATCCAGAGTCTGTAGGGGTTCTTTTTCTTGCAGAATTTTTTCAAAGCCTGTGCATAACTCTGGAGGAATAAAAGCAAATGAGTTTGTTCTTCATTATTGCTGTTTGCAATAAAGTAAATTGCCTCTGAAAACACAAGGACTGCTCTTCAAAGACACGTTTCTATGCTGTATATGGATGTTTGCAAATGTGCATGCGTGTGTGGCTACCATATGTACTAAGCATGTTTGTTACCACATACGGCTGACTTCTTTACCCTGCCTGCTTTTAATGCACCCTCATACACTAATCTGGGCTGTCAGTGAGGCAGAAGGGGGGAGGAGAGGGGTTCCCTGTTACGAAGTGTTTACAACAGTGGGTTATAGGAGGATGACCACAGTGTTTCAGGGACGTAAGCAGTAGTCTTGATTAACCTGTTTAACAGTTCACTTGTGGGTAAGACAAACAGTCTAAAGCCCGATCCAGCTGCATTCATGAATTTATTCCTTAGCAAATAATGGTGGATAAAATTAGCAGACATCTGGAAGAGGCACATATTTCAAAGTTATTTTGGTCGAAATGTATAAAGCACACTATGAAGAATATGATTGGTAGCTGGTCTTAATAAACAGTTAGTGAGTTCTGCCTGCCTAAAATGCAAAACAGATGTATCTTTGTTCTTTTAAAGTGACTTTGATGAATAAACTACATGTGACGTCAGGTCCAAGCTATTGGATGTCTGAGTCCGGCAGAGAAATTTTTTAGAATAAAAAGAAGAAAACTTTCCATTGTAGACTCTGGAGAGAACAAAGTGAATTCCAGTGCATTGCTCTCAGAGCAAATAGAAGCAGGTTCAGAGACTTTAGATAGTCAGTCCAAACATTTATTATTGGTATTGTTTTCAGGGAGATCTGTTTTTGTCTGCTGCACTGAACCTTTTTCCTCTCCTTGCAGCAAGTCTCAGACTTTGGCTATTTGCATCAGTGTTAAGGGGCTCTGGCTTTGGAGGGTTTTTTTTTCTTTTTCTTTGGGTTTTTTTCCCTCCCGTTTTAGTTTTGGGAGAGGGAGGGCTGGGAGGAGGAGGAGGAGGAGGTGAAGGAGGAGGGTGAAAAGGAGGACAGACAAATGCTTCCGAAAGGAGAAGGACTATGCAGACACAATACTATATCTAAGGACTCTTTAACTCTGCTGTTTTTTGCTTTTGTTTTGTCATGAGCAATTTAATGTTTTTCAGGGCAATAGTCTTTACTTTGGTGTGCGTTTTTTGGCAGATTGACCAGGCAGGCAGTTTAGTGCTGTACCCCTTGTGTCAGGAAGTCAGCTCATTCTCTGCAGGTGTTTCATCCATAAACAAGCATCAGCCACAGACTTCTTTTTCTTTACGGAAACCCTCTGGAATTTAACTTTCAGATACAAATACTTGGAGAGGTTGGCAGCGGAGGAGTATGAGAAGGAGCTGAAGAGTCGGAGCGTAAGCCGAGGTAGAAGTGAGCTGTCCTTGAACCTGAGATCTCCTTCAGCCCCATCCTCGCCTGTACCCAAGTGCGTCAGCCCAGCATCCACAGAGTCCCAGGAAGAGCTGAAGACCCCTTCCACCCCTTGTGGGACCCCTCAGCCCTCAGAAGGTAAGTGAAAAGGAGGGAAGAGGAAAGAGCAGCGGTTTTATCACAGTTTCTCTCAGGCTAGCAGTGAGTTTTGATGCCTTAGTGCATGAATATAACCTCTGAGGTGCCAAAGTAAAAGGTCTATTATATTGTTTCGTGCTGTCTTCCTAAATTTCCTCTTTTTTTCCATAGATTTGGATGTCTTCTAGTCTATTCAAGCAAAGAATACACTGCTAATTGTTGCTATAATTTATATTATCATTGTCTGCTGCTATTAGAATGGAATAATTGGAAAATACAGCATACAGAGGGTCTTAATTTTAGCATCATGTTCCTTGTATATTAGAAGTTACTGAATACTAAACCAACAATATTCCTGCCAACAGATTTTGCTTATGTGGTTTCTCTAAAAGAAATGCAACAGATGGATGCCAAGATTATAATAACCTTCCAGCAGAGCACAGGCTGAATGGGACAAACAGAAAAGGTCTTGAATTGAAGGCAGGGAGGGTGTGTTGGTTATTTTTAACACCAACAGAAACTCTTAAAATTGTAGCACAAGTAGTAAAGGACTTAAAAGAGACCACAGACAATTAGTAAAAAGGAAAGTATAATTAGTGTTTGCACGGTTGGTTTGCTGTCATATAATTTATTGGTGTACAGAGCAATATTTTTTGTGTGTGCACGTCATTCTGCCGCTTGCATCATGTACCCCTCCTTCAGTCCTCAAAAAAACACCCACCATACAGATTTTATTTGCGCCACATGACGTTGCATTAACATTGGGAGCTAGAATGCATGTTGAGGGTGAATTATCGCCACCGTTCATTTTTATTTGATTTGACTTCCTGCTATGTGCTATTGGTGATTAATGCATTTGTAACTTGCACTGCTTGGTTTTATTGAGTGTTATGGCTGGTAGCATGCTATAAAGCAAGGCAATTTAAGAAAAAAGTTACAAATACTGAATGTTGCATATGTTTATCCTCACCGTACTAAGTAGGTGAAGTTTATTTAATTTAGGTTTATATATTTTCCCAATTATATTCCCAGTTTTCTTGTCTGGCACCTTAAAAGTCTCAGTGGAATCATTTGAACTTAAAAAACATGGATATTTTCCTGTAACACTGATATTCAGAAACATCCAGATGCCCTTTTTTTTGAGTGCAATATTGCTTTTAGAGCAAAGCTGGGTTTTTCCACCATTAGGATTTCAGAGCTGGGTAGGGAGCAAGTATCTCTTTTATGATGATTATTTTAACATATTTCTCCTGGAAGCATTAAAAAAAAAAAAGTGGTATGAAATGGAGCAGCACAACCCATTTGGAGAATACATTTAGAGCAGGTGTACGGGGCAACTTCAGGCAGACAGAATACGGCAAAGCTATCAACACATGGGTAGGCAGGAAATCTCTACCAAAACTCCTGACAATATCAGTAGGCATCAGAGGGCAGCACCTGGAAGCCTGGCAAATGGACTGCAAGGAGACAACATATGGATGGGGCAGGGTAAGTCTCCAGCCGAGGCCAGCTGCAGGCAGATGGCCAGGACAGCACCAGAACAGGGGCCTGAAATCTGCATACTTCAGTGGGAGCTGTGCATGAGGAAGGGCTGCTGTTTCAGGCCTACCAAAAGCATTGGAAAGGTCATATGAAGTAAAGAGCGTGTGGGCAGGGCAGGCTCTCTCATTTGGAGGTGGCCAGGTTATTGGATATCAGCCAACAGCTGGCAGGCTTATTTATAGATTGTGTGCCATGGCCTCTAGACTATTATCTGAGTTCCTCATGCTCCATAATGAATTAAAATGTCAACTACTACTGTCCTTAGGAAATGTGATGAATCCCACTTAATAGATAGAGAAACTGAGGCATTAACTTGCTTAAGCCAGTTGTAGGAAAGCTGAGATAGAGCCGTGGACAGAACCCAGATTACTTGCACCCCAAGCAGTTGCTTTGAACATGGGGGTCACCATCTTCCCAAGCAAGGATAAAGCTGCAGAAGGAAAACACTTCCTCAGTTCTGTGCATGGGACCCTCCAAAGACTGTGCAAGAACGATGTTAAGAGATGTGTGATATTCGTCTGCAGAATTCAGAACGTGAAGTGAAATGGGAAGTGTGTTCCTCTACTAGCAAAACAATAAGTGATTTTTGGAGTCAGATTTATTTTATGCCGTTTATGCTGAAGTATCCTTTGGCCATCCAGTATCTACTGGGCTTAAGAAGGAAATGGATTTTTTCTGTGGAACTTTGTCCCACACTGTGAAACGTCTCAGTATATTTACTCAATATAAAAATCTGGACTTACTGAGCTGAAGTGTTTTCTCATATAAAACAATTGGTTCCACTAAAGTAATCAAGTCTTGTAAGACTTACTCTTGTAAAACTTGGGGTATAGCATTCAGAGGAAATGAAGGCAGTCCCATAACTGCAAAATGGAACTTAATTTTTTTTTTTCAGAGCAGCTACTTCCTCTTTTGTAATTTCATTGGAGAATATTTTATGAAGTGCATGTGTGCAGTAAAGGAGAGCAACAATAACCAAGACATCTCTGAAGTCAATCCACAAAGGAATTGGAGATGAACCCTTCTCTGAGAGGAGCAGCGTTTTTAGCACTTGAGGAAGTAAGCAGGCCAACCCAACTGCACATTGTGGACAGTAGGAAACCTTCTGAATATATTAGTAGCTAAGCAAGGTTCAAATACTGCCTAAAGTATGACTGGTGAAAGCATCTCGGCAGATGGAGAAGCACCAGAGCATGAGAGTGCAGTGAGGCCATTGCAGCCCCAGTCGTAGAGCCAAAGGAACCACGGTACAGAAAGTCAGAGGAGGAACTGGAGAGGGGGACAAAAAAAGATCATTTCTGACTTGATGAAGAAAGAGCAAGTTCCCTACTAGTGATCACTCTGTGCTAGTTTTTACCATCACAAGGAATGGGAAGAAAAGATTGGGGTGGGGGTGGAGAAAGAGAGAGAGTTCCTGCTAAATTCACGGCAAGAGGAATCCCGTGCTGGAGCAACTGAAGGGAGAAAACAACCAAGACTTTAAGCGATGCCTGAAAAATTGAACCAAGAGGGCTTGGGTAGGTATAGCCATCTTCAGACTTACTGTATGCATCCCCAAGAGACTCTTAGCGTATGTATCTCCCAGCTCCAAGTAGAGAGCAGAGAAAATAGATGAAGATGCGGTTGCCTTATCTATTACCCTGGCAGAGGATTAGATGTGGGCCCGGAGGGATGTTTTTTCTCTCTGAGGGCTTACAGGACTGGGGGCTTGAGGTCTTATCAGCAGGTACTAAGGATATGACATCTTGTGTCTGCTTCAGAGTTCATTTATAGTTGAGTATCTAAAGAAAAGTAGTTTCCCTCCGTGTCCCTGTATAGCATTACAAGTTTGTAGCCACGTTTTTCAGAAGGGAGCAGCTTGCTGTCCTCTGTAACCTCTCACTCAAAAGAAGGCTATCGCCAACATCCGATTGGATCATGGCAGATCAGGTCGCTAGGGCTTTACATGGCCAAGTCTTGAAAATGTCAGAAGATGCAGATTACACCACCTCTCAAAACGACAAAATCTTTACGCATTCATTGAGGGACCCTGCTACCGTCTCTTTTAGTGATGAGGTTACACAGCCTTTTTGGGAGATTTCATTCTTCTGAGAATCTTCGCTTTTTTTTCCAATAATACATTTTTAGAGATTAAGTTCTGGCAGAAAAAAGAAATGGGCATATGACTCAAAAATTAGTCCTTAAAGCCACATTCAGTTTTCCTCCTCCTGATTAATCCAATTGCAAGTAAAACTTCTGCTCATTTAAAGACTGCAATTCCCTCATTTGTTTTAATGGGTGGGAGGGGGCGAGGAACCTAAGCCTTGAGAGAAGTGTGAAAAATAGTATATGCATGTGAGAAGACATTACCTCTACTACTGAATCTGGCAATCCCAATTTAGGTTTAAGAACTGTATATGTGTAAGAATTGGGTTTTTTAAAAAAAATAAAATATGTTGCTTATAATGGCATCACACTTCTTAATGTCTCAGGAA